CACAATGAAAATATGGTTCTCTTGCTTTCCTACAATAGCTTAAGTCAGTAGTACTTCACAGTATGTTTGGTCCAATTGTAACGCACTTCTTTGTACTACAGCTATTTCACTTGGCTGAATGCTTCTTGACCATTTCAGTGTATTCTTGCACATCATCAGGAGATCCCAGGGCAATAGGTGCTCTCTGGTGGATATCCTCAGGCTCTCTATCCAGCATGGAAGGCAGGTATGTGAGCCCTAGAAAGATAAAGGCCTTTTTTCCTATAAACTGCGAAGGGGTTACCTCCGGCTTCTCCAGGGTGAGAGGCTGCTCTCCTCCCTACCGCGGGAAACCCCCAAAGCGGATTGCCTGTTTAGGGGAAGGACTGACATCCCGGGGTCAATAGCAGGACACACACACAGAGCAAAGGTATTCCCCTTTTGCTTTGTGTTTGTAAAGTGGTTCCTTTTTGTTTGCTGGAGGAACCGTCCTTGGTTCTGTCCTGAGGCCTACTTTGGAAGAATGGATAAGAGAACACAGAGGGGGAGGACAAACACTGTTTAAAGTGGGGCTGGCTTAACCCAGGCCCCGCCACTGTAAGAGAAGGAAGTGCAGAGTCCGGCGAGATGGAGAGGCCTTGCCACATCCTAAAATCTTGGTTGAAAAATCTGTAAGAATATTGAATGATGCTTCAATGCTTGATGTATCTACACCAGATCTAACCATATGGAGACATCAGGTATGTAACTGTGGAGATACACCAACCCATGTGTCTGCACCTCTCCAAGGAAGGGCTGGACTTCGGGATACTAGGGCCCAATCCAACTCTTGAGGAAGTCTTTCCATTAACTTCAGGAGAGCTGGATGGGGCCCTTAGTGAGGTTCTCTTGAACTGGAGAGAGAGAAGTAGAAAACTTACTAATGGGAGGGAGACCTACCTCGTCTGTGCAGCAATAGGAACATTGACTCCCACCCAGAAATGGTGTGAATACCATCCTCCACAATGCTTTTCTCACAAATGACAACAGAGTGCTTTAAGAGAACAACGGCTGAGCAGAACATTGGCTTCTGCTACATGGCCTCTAACAAATAAATTGGGCAGAGAGCATTATGTCTGAAGACCATTCCAAGCAGTGTTATTTAGGAGACATCTACACTGTCCGTGGCAGTGAGCATCCCAGCCCTGGTCGACAGCCTTGGACTTGCACCTAGTGCACTAAACATAGCTGCGTAGGCAGCGCTTTGAAGTTGAGAGGTTTTTGTTTCTTTTTCTTTAAAAAAAAATATGAAAATAGTGTTTCCTTTAGTAAATTTCATCAGTATTGTGAATCCAACACAACAGCATTGGTGATAGGAGACGGCCAGAGGAAAAACGACCCAAAATCCTAGGAATCCTGCAAACATCCAGAAACTCCAAAACATCATTCTCTATCTACCATGAAGAATTGTTTCATTAACAGGCATAGAAATATGAACTTAATATACCTGCATGATGGATAGCTAAGCATGTCTCAGTTTCTGCTTGTTCTCAGAGTGGTGCTACAGAAGGGCAGCGTTAAGGTTGGTTGTGAGACTAACAACATACTTTCAACAGTTTCGGGCTAGTTTTGTTTTTGGTAAAGTGGAGCCTTAATTTGGAAGTTTCCAGCTTTCTAATGTTTGTGGGTTTTTTGTTGTTTTTTTTTTTTTGAGAAAGGTACATTGTTCTCTTAAGGGTTTTTTTGGCTGACAATGGGATAGATCATTTCAACCTTAGCTCCAGGTTAACAAAGTTTTCTGCCAAGGGGACTTGATAAAAGAGAGATGGGCTGCAAAATTCAGACCTGCTCTGGATATCAAACCCCATCCCTCAACATTTCAAGTTGCTCAGAAAGGGGAGTTAGGTTTGGTCTCTTAGAGATAGGGGTCAGCACCAAAATTTAGATCCATGTTAAGAAAAATCCTAAAGCTTGCAGGTGTTCAGATGCAGAGTTTGTTTGGACCAGTCTCTATACATTGACAGCCACATACCTATCTCGACTTCAGTGCTAAACCCATAGAGTGACAGGTCAGCGTCTGGTGCATACACAATTTTAAATTCTCAGGATCTTGCCTATTTGGTTGAACTTTTCCATTTGTTTTGGCATGTTAAGTTCCTTCTCCCCGACCCCAACACTGGACCTTTCCGCTAACTCATGTTTTACAGCGTGATTTACTGTGCGTTCGTTTAGAGTCATTGCAAAAATACAAAGACATGGAAATGTTTTAAATGGCTGAGAAATCTCCTTAAAATGGCATCGTCTTTCATCTAAAGGATGTAAGGGTTAGAGAAACATCTGGTGTATCTTATCCTGCTTCTGCCTTTGGCCAAGACGGTTAAGCAGCTGACCGTTTTGCACTAAGGCAATCAGCACTTATTTTCTTACCATGAGCCATAGGAGTCACACACTTTCCTCTAAGACTTGCTTCAATCTGGCTCATTTTTTATCATTCCTTCTTGCCTTTTTTAAAAAAATTCTCTTCCCCCTCCATTTCAGCGGCTGAATTGCTGCAGGCAGCAGCCAACTTGAAAGATAGAAGTTACAAAGTAAACAGTCTTTTCAAGATGGCTTCTTCCAGGGCCATCCTTCACCAGCAAGCCCCAATCACCATTCCCTACCTAGGAAGGGAGGCCCAGATCCTCAAAGATATTTAGGCACCTAACTCCCATTGATTTGAACAGGTTAAGCACCTACCGACCTTTGAGGATCTGGGTGTGAGTGTCACACCAGCTCCATGGTGACTAGGCCTCATGGCACTGAGGAAAGCCTGCTCCAGAAGGTGGCTGGAAATCCTGGTGCTGAGGGAAGCCTGCTTCAGAAGCGAGTTGCGCTTTCTGGCAGTGTGTTTCACTCTTCCTGTGCTTATCAGGGTGACCTAGAACTAGGGTGACCAGATAGGAAGTGTGAAAAATCGATACAGGGGCTCGGAGGTAATAGGCGCCTATATAAGAAAAAGCCCCGAATTTCAGGACTGTCCCTATAAAATTGGGACATCTGGTCACCCTACCCAGAACTAGCATACAAGGCTGGACTTTTGAGATGGTTTCTAAGGAAAACACCTGGTTTTCAGTGAAGTCCTTGTTTTACTGAATTTAGTTCTCATCTGGGGGGACAAAGATTTCCAACTACTTGCTTAATGTCACACTGTGGGTTGTACTTTGGCTCCCGCGTGTTTCTACCCTGTGGCTCTGACCATTGATAAGAATCCTTTTCCAAATGCGTCCCTAAGGGTGATGGGTGGGATGTGTATCAAGATACCAAGTTTCCGTATAATCAGTGAGGTTAAAGGTCACCTAGATGTGCCTTCCATCCTGCGTGAGGCCTTCTCATTGGGATATTCCTGAATCTTGCTGCAAGACCCTTAAGGGTTAAAGACCTGATTCAACTCTCATTAAAATGAGTAGATAGATTCCTTCCCATTGATTTGAATGGGAGTTGGTTAGAGCTCTCTATGAATTAATTTTTGAAGCTCCTATATTCTAACACAGTTTCCTTGACTAGGGTGGAGTTCATATTTTTAAACTGTATGTTACAAAACAATAGGATAAAAGATTGGTACCCAGGAGTTATTGCCTATGGCATAGTGTGACTAGTATAGTTCTCAAAAAAAAAAAAACAGTGGGCATGCTAGTTAGAGAAACCATAGCAGAAGCAGAGCTAGCTGAATAAGCAGGTCCAAATTTTCATAAACATTTTTGTAAAAAATAATTGTCCTTTGTTGGGGAGTGGGGGGAGGGCAGAGAAGGAATTTGAAATTTAGATGAAAATTTTTGTCAAAATATCTATCTGGCTCCAGAGATGGAATTTTCACCAAAATGTTATTAGAAATTGCTGGTTGAAAAGCAAGTAAAAATGTTCACAAATATTTTTGAGAAATGTCTTCCTTTTCTGCCAACATTCAATTTTTTTCAGCCACCTAGAATTTGAACCCTGCTAGCTTGCAGCTCTGGCTTAAGCAGAGCTGTAGCTAGGATGGATTTAATTGTCTCATGGAGCAAAAACCCCAGCTAAAGACATAAAGTGACATGCAGCAAGATTTGTTGTTCAGAGCTTTTTCTGCTGCATTGTATCAAATCCTTTAGCAACCCTTAAGGTGGCATTTTGGTAGGTTATGGATGAAACTCAGCTAAGGACAAAGCTGATCTGTTATAAAAGAGATGCAGTCATTTTAGAGAAGGCATTTTTGAAAGGGTTTTAAAAAAATTATTATAAAAGAGAACCTGCCCCACACTTCTTTCCTAAAATCTCCTTCCTCGGGAAAGTCCTGGCATGTGATCCTCTGTGTCTGTTCATCAGCATGATACAAAATTCTCACTTTCCAATAAATATGCTTTGTTTTTCTCCTTGAAAAAAAATATATATAAAAAAGTGTTACAATGTCTATTGTACAGTTTGTGTCCTGGCTACAGTATGAGGTCCGTGGGGGAAAGATTTTTTGTTTTTGTTTTTTTGGTTTTGTTTTTTTGTTTAATACAAACAAACTGCAACTGGTGATGCCCTCTGGTTACAGGGGTTAAAAAATACAAAGGAGTCTTTACTTCTTAAAAGCATCAGTTCTACTGGTTTGAAATATTTCACTGTAAAGGCTTGTGGATTTTCAAAACGGCAAATGCAATGTTTATGTAGGCCCTTGACTGAATACTGTAAGAAAGAGAGGCATGGGCATTTAGGTGGCTTGAGAAGAATTTCCATGTCTGGCCACTTGCGGCTTGAACAGCTATTAGGATGCAGGCAAGAGGCAGCAGTCAAAGGTTAAGTTGCTCTTTTTAGTATGGGTATCCATGGTGGTAACTTTCATGGTGACGGTAGTCATCTTGGTATCCTTCCTGGTATCCCTGGTGATAGCTATGGTAACCATACCCACCATACTCGTCTTCTGGGCATCGCATGCCAAGTGATTGTTGAATTGCCATTTCCTGTCGCCGGAGCTGCATGGAATCGATCAAATCGTACACGATCACCATGGACCACATTGGGGAAGGGTACCAGGATTTGACGTTTCCATCTTTGCCAACCAGAAGCATGGAGAAATATTCAGGGCTGATTTGGAAATAATTGCGGATGTCTTTCACCAGGTTAGTAGGGACATCTTCTCGCTCCACATTGGAGCTTCCTAGAAAAGGATAGAATCAGGAACAATGCTGGTGTTTTGATTGCCTAGCTAAATGATAATTTGGAAAGTATGCCCTGTGGCCTTTTCTTCCTATTTTACTGCCCTCTGTAAAAGATCCTGGTCAGTTTAAGGATCTCACAACCCTTCTCAGCAGAGATTGACTTCAGGACCTCCTATTTCCAAAAACGCAGGTCACTATCATGTGAGCGGAAGAAGAATTTATTTGTTTTAATAGGGTTTTATTTGTTCTGCAGGCTGTAGCCAGCAGAGGGTGATATAATCACACACTCACGCAGGTGTCTGATATTCCAAGCAATTTGGGGCAGTGGTTATATACCCCAAATGCCAGCAAAGGTGGTGAGGTTCCTTCCTGTTCTCACCTCTCCTTTGATGGATGTACTTAATAGGGTTACGTAGCTGAAAAGCTCCCTGCCTCCAACATGTGCTGTGGTAGTGAGATCTCTGGTGCAAGGCTACCCCTGTGTGGGCCTTGTGGCACTGAAAGAAGCAAGGAATTGATGATGAAAGGAACCTTGAGTGAAGTCAGAGGCCTGCACATGAGCAGTAGCTGTAACTGTGCTTTATTAGCTTCCCCTTAAACCCTATAGAAGATAAGGATATGGACACCCCTTTGGCGGGGGAGGGGGCGAGGAGAAGCGTGCATTTGACCCACTCTATTTTGACTTCAGTGGGAGCTAAAGACATGCTGCACCTTGCCCCGTCCCTACCAATTATGGTGCCCTATGCAGCCCGAGCACCTGACCCCTCCCCGCAGAGGGTCTGGGCTGCGCTCAAGGCCTGCGGGGCTGCGGAGGCAGGAGTTCTGGGATCTGCTTGTGGGGGGCCCACAGGCCCAGAGCAGCCCGGGGGATTAGCGGGGGGCCTGGCGCCAGCAGCAGGAAGCGGAACGACCCTCCCCAGCCCGCTCCATTCTCCCCAACCTAGCCATGTCGTTCGGGGGAGAGGGCTTGGGGAAGGGGTCCGCTTTAATTCTAGTCATATCTGTCCCTCTTACCACCCTTTCAAGCAAAGTTCCCAGCTGCCCCTTAGAAACACACAGTGCTGTGTATGTGCCCTTCATGAGCAGTCATTAAAGACTGGGAAACCATTTCTCACCATTGATGGGATACAATTCTAAGACACCACCGATCTCTTCCCCGAGTCCTAGCAGCTTGAGGATAGTTATGTGGCGCAGACCTGCAAAGGAACGAGAGGGGCTTTGGGTGACACCAGAAATTTCCACTCAGTCATGGACAGATGTTATTTTAACTGTCCAGATCCATGCTTGCTTGTTGGGGTCCAATCCCACAAGTCTTCTGTGCAGGGACTGACACTGATTTCAATAGGAGTGCTGTACGTGAGCCAGCGACAGAAGCAACCATTCTGATCAGCTAGTCTGACCTCCTGCGTAACACAGGCTGTAGAATTTCCCTGAAATAATTCTACGGCCTGGTGGGCTTAATCAGGGGTTAGAATTTGGGGATAAGCTAATCCATACAGGCAGCGTGAAACTTATATTGTGAGAGCATGTTTCAGAGTAACAGCTGTGTTAGTCTGTATTCGCAAAAAGAAAAGGAGTACTTGTGGCACCTTAGAGACTAACCAATTTATTTGAGCATGAGCTTTCGAGACCCAGCAGCCTCCAATGTGGTTCTGCTGCATGGGAGGGCAATCACAGGGGACAGGCACACTGGGGAATTGCAGAGGCCAACTCCATGGGCATAACTTCCCTCACCTCCAAACCCACCTCCCATTGTGTGGGGAAAGGAAGTGGCGCGGGTGAGGTGCACCAAGAGGGACACCGGGCAGGTGGATGCTGCTGCAGTAGCGGGTCATGGAGTGTCCTGGTGTGTGCATGGATGGATTCTTCAGAGGCTGAACGAAGGGGCCCTCTTGTCCCAAGCCCAGCCTTTTAAGTTGCCCCCTAAATGTTCTGCTAATGTTCTTACACTTGCATAAACTAGAGTGCAAAATATCTCCTGCCCATCTCTGGTGAGGTTTACATAATATCTCAGTACTTGTGTTTATTGTTTGACTCAGAGCGTCTTTTATGGGGTCTAAACAACAGATGAGTTGGTGATCTTGTATTAGTTCCACCACCCAGGAGTTGACATGCCATGAGAAGAGCAGCTCATATGGTGTTTTGGCCTCCACCATGGCTCCCTGAGAAAATCCTGCAGTCTTTATTCAGTCAAAACTGCCATCAACTAAGATCTGCAGGATTTTGCTCTAAGGCATTAAAAAAAAAAAGTGAACAAAGTAAATATAAATAAAGACAAATATTAGAACCTTAGCTCACCCTGGCACAAAGCTGCCAGGGCATTCATATTAAGGCAGGTAAGCTGGGCAGATGCAATTTACTGCTTACATTGATAAATTGCTCATCATTTCCCCAAATTAGGGAACATATGCTCTGCCCCTTGGCTTTAAATGCATGGATTGTGAACAGTGTACCCTCTAATTTTTCCCACACATGTGTGGAATGAATTTTGCTATGTGCACCAATATGGAGGTGATATGTGACACATCACCTTCATATTGGTACACATAACAAAATTCATGTGGTGGGGGTGGGGCAGAGAGGTTTGGAGTGTGGGAGGGGGCTCAGGGCTGCAGCAGAGGGTTGGTGTGCAGTGGTGTTAAGGCTCTGGCTGGGGGTGCGGGCTCGGGTGGGACCAGGGATGAGGGGCTCAGGGCTGGAGCAGAGGGTTGGGGTTCAGGGGTGTGAGGGCTCTGGCTGGGGATGTGGGCTCTGGGGTGGGGCAGAGGGTTGGGATATGTGCGGGGGGGGATGGGCTCTGGGGAGGGGCCAGGGATGAGAGGCTCAGGGCTGGGGCCGGGCTCTGTGGTGGGACTGGGGATGAGGGGGTGGAGCAGAGGGTTGGGGTGTCGGGGGGGATAAGGGCTCCAGCTGGGGGTGCGGGTTCTGGGGTGGGGCCAATGATGAGGGATTTGGAATAGAGGAGGATGCTCCGGGGCTATGGTGAGGAGAGAGGACTCCCTCCCAGCTCTCTCTCCCCGCAGCAGCACCTGGGCTGGGGGGAAGGGTGCCTCTCCCTGCTGCGGCAGCTCCAGGGCTGGGGCCAGGGGATAGGCACCCCTTCCCTGGCCGCAGCAGGTCTGGGACTGAGTGGGGCTGGGAGAGGGGCACTGCGGCAGGTCCTGAACGGGCAGGTTCCCTGAGCACCTGTGCAGTGCTAAATAGGCTGCTGCATGGCATTGCAGCTTACAGGGAATTTAGGTTGTGAGAGGCAGGGTGCAGAATCTCAAGTGGAGAAGCTGTAGGGTCTGGTAACTTATCAAGCAGCCTTAGAAGAGGCATGATGATCTCCTAATACTGGAAGAATGGTCAGTGACCACCACTGGGTGCAAAGCAAAACTATGTTACTGTATCAGACCATGAGTCCAGTATCCCACCCCCTGCCGCACCAGATCAGCCCAGGTCCATCTAATCTCATAGCCCTCTAGGGGAGTGTCCGGCCATGCTGGATCAGACCATTGGTCCATCTTAGTGTGGTATCCTGCCTTTGGCAATAGAAGCTTCAAAGAAGGGAAAATCACCCCTCCTAATTACTCCTGACCAATTGTGCAACCCTGCCCATGGGGATGAAAACTCCTTCCTGACCCATGGAGTAGTTGTTGGGATGAGATTCACAAAGGCATTTTAGATTCCTATCTTTCATTGAAATCAAGGGGAGTTAGAACCCTAAATATATTTGTGAATCCCACCCTTCATGCCTTGATGCATGAGATTTTGTTACCTTAGTTTGCAAAAAATCTCAGGAGATCCAAAGAGTAGTGAGAGCTTTATTTTAAATTAGTTGAAAGAAATGAAGAGAGAACCCCACCAAATGCATGAAAAAGTCAGCATGCAGAGAATAATGTGCTTATTCATGAGATGTACAGTGGCAAACTGTTTGGAGGTAACATAACCTGTAGCCCTCAAGTGGGAAATTACTATGGGGATCAGATTAAATCAGGCATCCATTTTTTCTTTTTTAGACAGAGGATTGGAATGTTGTCTTTGGGAAAAGATCATAGAGACGCACCAGGGTCCCAGTTAGTGAGGCACCTCTTTCTATACTGGGAAAAGTCTTAGAAGCTACTATTTTAGTGACTCAGAGGCAGGACGCTTGGAAATGCACAACTTGATTAAGGATATTCAACCATGGCATGAGGAAAAAAGGAGGGTTATGCCTTATTAACTTGCTGGAATCCCTTAAGGATATCCCCAACAAAGGGAAGAGAGTTAAGTGAATAGTGGCTGTATGCAGATCTTCAGAAAGTATGTGACAAAGCTCCATATCACTCACTAATTTGGTATCAAGGGAAGTGGAAGCGGCTGAGGGTGTGTATGACAGTGAGACTGTGATTAAGAGAGTGACTCTGTAAGTGAGATTGTGTGGATCCCTGTTTATTCAGGCACCACTGACATTCACTGAAACAGTTGGAGACTTCTGCTACAGAAGGCATTCCACTACATTGCTGCTCAACAGGGGAAAATCTAGCCCCTGCCACTACAGATGCACAGAAGACTCCAGACAGTGTGGAGCTATGATGCGTGGAGGAGGCTATGCACCAGAAAGCTGGGCAGTGGTGTACTTGCTCCATTTACATGGCTGTTAGGGGAAGGCAGGGAATAGGCAGAGCTGAGTGAGCCCCCACTGCATGGATTCTTTAGCTCTTCCTTTCCAGTAAGGGCAATAGGCGCCCTGAAGGCTCTTCGTGCTAAGCGGCTGAAGTGGCCTCCATGAAGATGCTTTGCATAGTTGGGATGAGGAAGGAAAGAAGAACATAGCTCTCTTCATCCTTTCATGCATCTCCTTGCTGCCCACCCTGGTTCTGTATTGGGCTGATGATTGGTTCCTATAAGCACAACTTGCTTATACCACTAATTTGCAGAGCTGTGACAACAACAAGATGGACAAGCCCAGGGCTGTTCTATTGCTAAAAATGCCCATC